CTGTAGGCGGACCTACGGGGTGGCAGCTTGGAGGAGCTGCGGATCAGCGGCCGGCTCGTCCCGGTGCTGCGGGCCGTCGGTCGGCTGGAACCGTCTCATGCGCTCCGGATGCATTTCCGAGCAGCCTCCATGCATCGCAACGGGACTCAGTCGTCCTGAAACGCCAGATTCCCCCCCCCTCCTCCGCCGCCTCTCTAGTCCCCACCGAGGGAGCTGACAGCTGCACAGCAGCACTATGCTATGATTGCCTTCCTGACGCGGCCGCGTCCTCACCCTGCTGACAGGCTCTTGAGCAGAAATCCTTTCCAAGTTAGCTGCAAGTTCTGTGATGAGCCTGGCACTCTCAGGAAGCAGAAAAGAGCATTTCCTCGGGGAGATGGCCAATCAATCACATTATTATCCCATTAATATGATGGAGAGAGAACTTTCCAGACCCGTGCACGCACTACACTTCTGCACAGTGGACTGTGAGGAAGAGATGAGCTGCACCAGCCTCACGGTCCGCCTGCCTGCCACAGAGAACATTATGTGGCGACCCGCAGCTGCCTCCCTGTGTTAAAGGGTCGCCTGCTGAATTACAAATGGCATCATTATCAATGGAGCTGAGTTTCAAAGTGGCACCTCGACCTATAACTGATAAACCGGTGGTTCTCTGAAGGTGGCTGATGGACAGTTTAGGAGGATTTTCAACATACACACTTGGTACTTGCTCTTATCGGTGGGCCCTTTCATTAGTTCTAAAACTGTGGTTTAGGTGGTAGTCCAGTTATTGAGCACCTGCCTTTCTGAAGTGCTTTAGATGAACACATCAGAAAGGCTCTGAGAAGGATCATGACAACATGAGGTTTACTCAAATCACTTTATAATGTCATTTATTAAGGCTAGCTGTCACTGGCCCTTAAATCCCTGGTTTTCTAAATGTGTCCTTAAGGGAGAATGTGCACTAATTTTAATATTAATCTTATGGCTACTTTTTGGAATACCTTCCATTTTTCTAACTAAAGGTTAAAAACCCAGTTTGTCAGTTTACAGTGATATAAAACAGATGTCTGGATTAATCGGATGTATTCAAATGTTGGCTCTATTACTCATTTGAAGTCCACGAGTTGGGTCATATACAAACTATATTATTTTGCAAAATCAGCAACCAATAAAACTTTCTATTACAAATTGTAAAAGTGCAATTTGTGGTCTACAGATGCTGCAGATGTTTAGCAGTGTGATGCTGTGTTATACAGCCCAGTCACATAAGGAGTTATCCCTCAAAAGATTGTTTAATTTAAGCCTTTCAAATACCTGTACCATGTTAAACACGCAGTTTCACCCATATTAAGATCCAGTGATATCTTACTAGACTGGACTGTGTCAGTGAGTAATGATTTGCCCAGTGTAACAAACCCTCCTGAGGTGCCCTGAGAAGGTCATTCAGGCCTCCTGTAGCCCATCTAGTGGAAGAAGAGCCCGACTGCCAAGGCTAAATCTCAGCTAGGTATATCCTGCCAGGTGTAAATGAAGGACAGTGGTTCTGCAAGAGCAGTAATTCTGACTTGAATGAATTTAAATGCAGATTAAGCCTAGTATGACATAACGAGTTTGGACGTGAACATGCGCGACACCCTTTGAACCGGCCACTGTGCAGTTCCAGGCTTCTGAAAAGAACTCAAATTGTCCTAATTGTTGCCATGAAGAAGTCATCTATCTTATTATCAACCTCCAAATGGACCAGATAATAAAGTTCGAGGAGCCATGACGGGCGAATCATTTGTTGGAGGAGGCTGCTTTTCCAAGAACCTTTTTTTTTTTTTTTTTTTTTGTGTATGTCTTTCACTTTCCGGGGCCTGTAATGGACTCTAATGCAGCAAAGGAAATTATCCACTCATGTCCAATCACTACCTACGAGGCACCGATCAATACCAGGCCCCCAGGGCTCAGAGGGAGTCCGGGATCATGCTGAGAGCAGGGAGGGCTGGGTGAACTGCCTCCGAGCACATTTGGGTAAGGAGGGGTGTGGGACAGCGATGGACCGTGTTTGTTTTTGGGTGTCACCTCCTATCCCAGTGTGGCACCCATTCCTCTAATACATGTTTACAGGGAACTCAGGTTTACTCCCTTTGCAGCTATACAACACACTGAAAACTAACTTTGTTATTGCAACCAAACTCAATTTGTCTGTGAAAAACAAGTCTGGTAAGTCAGCCTTCATTAAGGATTTATAAACTGTATCTACACACTTCATTTATACATTACATTGGTTGGAAGCCATTAATAAGAATGTTTGGGTTGCCAGGTTATGAAAAACTCCATTTTAATAAGCTAGCAAATGTGTAAACCTTTAGATGTTAGTCAGTAATAGCATCTAGGTGATTAAAAACCAAGGAACTATGTTGACAACCAATTACTTTTTGTCTCATCTATCAAGGGAAAAAAGCCGAACTGTCATTCCAGCTTCTTAAATGCGAGTATTTGATGCTTTTCCATGTCATTTATAATAAGAAATTGAATATCTCTTGAGTTTGGACTGTTGGTCCAAGAAACCCTTAATATGTTGCCTTGAGCTGAGGGAAATTACACCGAGCATTATGAGACCACTTTAAACGACCCCATGGTTCGTCTGTGTAAACAGCTCATTACGGTCATGTTTTTTGGCGTGACCTCTAGAGGACACAGTACAGGACAACGGTGGTGTATAAACAGCGACTGCGTGTGTGCGCTGTCAGTTGGTCTGGGTGAATGGGTGGGCTGGGGGAAAAAAAACACATTTAAACACAGAAATCCAATGTTGATTTCAATCCAGCAGTCGTGTGCTCTTTTTCCAAGACCGTTCCATATTAACCAGGTTTACTACTGCAACCATTATGTTAAATGTCCACAAACCATAATGAACTCGTAGTTTTACACCAAATTATAATCTGTTTCAACACTTAAACCAAAAGTATTTATAGGAATAAACCTGAAAAAAGTGACATTTCCATAACTTCAACTGTGTTTAGAGTTGTAACCATAAAGTACACATGCTGCCAGTAGGGGGCCTTGCAGCAGACACCAAAAACATTACAATTCATCTTGAAGAGAACAAATGTTTTATTATCCATCCAACCGCTGTCAAGACATTTCACTCACAACATTTAGACTTTATATCTAATGAATTTGCAAAATAGCCTTAAGGACATGGACTGAATGTAAGCAAATGAAATAAATCAACATCATGTCCAGAATGCTCAAGTCGGCCTTCAGAAACAGGCATCGGTCGATCTAGTTCAAAGAATCACCTCCCCCAGTGACAGCCACGGTGCTAATGCCTTTCCGTTATCTGCCCTGTTTCTTTCAAAACTCGTCCTGATCAATTGGCCTCCTCCTCGCCATCACCTGTCTGCAGGGCCTTTCCCACTCTCCATTTTTCCTGTCGACTCTGTCAAACAGCTGCGTACTATACGGGCAGAGTGCCCTACACCCTGAAACAATCACGCCGCAAACACTCTCCCAGCCTGCAAAAGGAAGTGGAAAGGCTGCCAAAGATAAAGTGGAGGACCACAAACAAATGGAGTAAGTGAGCTCATTAAAGGGCCGCTGTGGTGGGTCAGCATCCTGCTGTAGGCTGATCAGCTTTCAATGACATCATCTGCAAGAGGCTGAGAGTCACTGATAAACACATCTAAAAGATCTACAGTGATGAAGAGGAGGAACACCAGCCCCTTCTCTTTAGTAAAAGCAGCAGCAGCACAGTGGACAATCTGTTTTACACACAAATATAAATAAGAGGCATTCAAGCACCCAAATTGAGAGTACTCACTGTGAAGAGCAGGACCTAGTTGTAGGTAGGGGAAAAATGATGGGGGAAGGAAAAACTATGGTACTAAGAGCAAAAGTGAAAAAACTGGACAATATGATGCAAATTTTAAAGCTTTGTTACTCATTTTGGGTTACTGTGGACATGATGTGACACCTATCACAAAATCTGTCTAGAGTTTCAGCACTGATTTAGGTTCTTCCATCTTTATATGAAGCAGATATAAATAAAAAAGTCTAAAAAATGATCAATTTGAGGAAGACTAACATATCTAATGAATATTTATTTAGTTGGATTATTACAAGTATGTTCGATCATAAAGATGCAATCCAGTCATCAGAAAATAACATGATCAATTTAGTTTCAAACTAATTTTATAACTGCAATTCATCCCCTTGCTCTCCACCTAACTGGTTGTTTTCACAGCGTGGCTGAGATGACGTCACTGTTTCCACCTGGACTCCTACTACTAATGGCTTCCAAGCAGATTTACAGTGGACCTACATTTTCCCCACAGAAATGCATGACAGGCATTTGGAGACAATGCAGTGTAATGGCTCTTCATATCAGATTCTAAGGAGCTGGTAAAGATTTCCCACCCTCAAAGCAACATGGCTGGTTTTACTTCAAACAAAATTTCTCATGTGGGGTGGTCGACTGGTTTGATATTCCTTCAGCTACTGTGCAAGCAACCATGATTTTTCCAGCAATACATGATTCTGAACTCAAAGTCTTGTGAGCTGGACAATCAGAGAGACGTCACATTTTAAAATCCACCAGTCTACATAAC